CCCACCTGCCCAGGAAGTCAGGGCCACCGCTGACCTCCCCTTAGAGCCCGAAACTTTTCCCTAAACTCCAACCGAAATCTGCCTTGTGCTGCTTAATCCCCTACCTCCCCTGGTAACTGCAGGCCCCAGAACTGGGCGCATTGCCCCCAGGGCCTGATCCAGAGGCTAAACCACCTCTCTGCTCCTCCAGGGGGTTCCCTTGTTGATGCATCCCAGGGTCCTGTTAGCCCTTTGACCCCAGCGCTGCTCAGGTGTGGCTGGTTCTCCCCCACAGCCCCCCAAATCTTTCCCGCAGTCCCAGCTGCCCAGGAAGGCAACACTCCCACCACCATCTGCCAGGGCCCGGTTCAGGGTCTCTCTCCTGCTCCATACAAGAATCCTATTAGCCATAGGAAGTCTCTCCCCACTCTGTGGTCATGAACCCCACCTCTCAGAGTACTGGAGCTGGACTGGGGTGCAGGATGTCCCACTGCCATACCAGCAGGAATGGGGGTAAAATTACTTTGAGGCCCCACGCGGTGGGGGCAAAAAACTCCAGCTCCCTTAAACTTTTTAATACTTAAATGTAAGCGAAGGTGATTGGATGGGTCTGATCACAGGGAGGGAAAGTATTTTCTGAGGAGCTTTAAGCAAGATTGGTTTTATTTCTAGTGGTAAAAATTGCATCTCAATTCCATTGCTAAACATAATATATTCACTGATAAGAAGGGGTCAGACCAAAGGTCCATCCAGCCCAGCGTCCTGTCCTCTGACAGTGGCCAATGCCAGGTGCCCCAGAGGGAATGAACAGAACAGGTAACCATCAAGTGATCTGTCCCCTGTGGCCCATTCCCAGCCTTGGGCAAACAGAGGTCAGGGCCACCGTCCCTGTTCCTCCTGGTTAATGGCTATTGCTGGGCCTGTCCTCCATGAATTTATCTGGTTCTTTTTTGAACACTGCTATAGTCTTGGTCTTCACAACATCCTGTGGCAAGGAGTTCCGCAGGTTGACTGTGTGCATTGTGTGAAAAAAATTTTTTTTTTCATAGCATGGGAGAATCTCTCATGGGATTTGCAGGGGGCAGTGGGATAAAAATGCAAGAAACAAGCTGGGAATTGTAGGGCAGGATTTAGAAAATAGTCCCACACAGGCTCCAACCCCTCCCTTCGATCAGCAAACCGATTAAAAAACTGCACCTGGGGACCGGCCTTTTCCCCCGTCACTTTCTCAGCTTCTTTGACATCCTTTGATGCCCAGGACAGAAGATCCCAGTCTCAGTCGGACCCGGTGCCGACTAAAAGCAGCCCCCCACGCCAGCCCAAAAATGAGACCAGTTTGTGTCTTAAATTATCCCTTTATGTGGGGAAAACAGTGAGGCAGAAAGACACACACAACTGCTCCCCGTGCTGCGGGGCAGAGACTGCAGATTTGGGGGGACAGCAGAGCACCCCTAAAGCTGGTATGAGTTGGAGGGGAGAGTTGGGGAGACACCAGGGGCCTGGTCAGTTTCGTTCCACAGCAGCTGGGAAGTGCTGCTAGGGGTGTCATGGGGTCTATTCCCCCCACCACCAGATCACTCCCAAACTCCTGCCAGGTCTAGGTCCCATCCCATCTCCCCCAAAATGCCCATGATTCAAACAGTCTGGTGCTACGTCCCATAATTTCTAACATGGGTCTGCTCACACCCTGCCCCCGGTCTGGTTGGGTCCGCCCAGCTCAGGGGAAGCTCCGCCCCCTGTGAAGCTCCACCCTCCCACATTTAATGAACCTGTTTCTATTGGCGTTAAGGCTGCAGCTAGAATTTGGAGGGGGGAGTCGTCAAGTGAACCCCACTCACAGCTCAGGAAGGTGGCCAGGGGATGAAGGATTTTAAGGCGGGGGGGGGTGTCTGTCCCCCTGTGCTATAAACCCAGGGGCTCAGGACGATGGTGGTTCATCTATTTCATCACCTCGAGCAGCACAGGGTGGGGAGATGGAGCAAAGATGGGGCAGTGGGGCCCACGAGCAATATGGAAAGACGTGGGAGCTGAGAGAATTTTTTTGGGGGGGCTCCCTGCCACCCCAAATCAAGACAGACACACACCCCTTCGCCAAACCTCAAGTGCTTCCCCCTTCAAACTCCCCATCCACGAACACGGGGAGATGGGTTCTGGGGGGGAGTACCCAGGACCCACCCCTTAAAAGCAGGAGGCTTTTTGGCATGTGTGTGTGTGGTGGGGTGGGGCAGAGGGGACACAGCGCTAATAGCACAATCTATTTCCATGATGGGGGGCTGGGTTACCCATAATGCACTACCCAATAGCAAGGCAGCTTTCTATGATGGGGATTTGGGGGGGGGGGGCAGGGGGGTTACCCATCCTGCACTGCAACTCCACCTCCAGAATACCTGCTAGTGTGTGGGATGAGGAAGGGAAAAGACTGAGCTGGGCCTACCCAGCATGCACTGCAGCAGCCCCTCACCGCCCCCCACGGGCAAGTGGGGGAAGCTGGGAAACACAATGCAGCACTATGGGGCAGGAAGCCCCCAGCTCCAACCAATGCCCCTGCTCTGAAAACAGACAAGACTCAATGTCACCCCCCAGTGGCCAAAAAAGGGACTGCAGACAGCCCAGCCCCTGGCCTGGATGCTATACTAGGACTCCAGCCCTGCGCCAGGGGGGAAGGAAGAGGGGCAGGGCCCAAGAGGGGGAGGGGCGGGGCCAATACGAGCCCCCCCCCCCCCATGTCCAGCTCACACAGGGTTTCACTGGATCTGGACTTCGGGCTGTGGCGGCGTCTGCTGCTGGTTCTGGGGAGGTTCCACGTGGTTCTGTTCAGGGGCATGGCCTGGGGCTGCCGGCACGGCCGGATCTGGAACGGAGACAGGAGAAGGGGGGTCGGCACGAAGCAACTAGACCCTCACTCCCCTCCCAGAGCGGAGAACCCAGGAGTCCTGGCTCCCAGTTCCCCCTCCCCCGGCTCTAACCCCTAAATCCACCACCCCTCCTAGAGCTGGGGAGAGAACCCAGGAGTCCTGGCTCCCAGTACCCCCCCGCTCTAACCCACTAGGCCCCACTCCCCTCTCAGAGCGGAGAACCCAGGAGTCCTGGCTCCCAGTTCCCCCTCCCCCGGCTCTAACCCCTAAATCCACCACCCCTCCCAGAGCTGGGGAGAGAACCCAGGAATCCTGGCTCCCAGCCCCCCCTGCTCTAGCCACTAAACCCCACTCCCATCCCCAGAGCCAAGGAGAGAACCCAGGAGTCCTGAACCGTCATCTTACCCGCTGGGGCGGCGTGCGGGGGCTGGGCCTGGAATTTCAGCTCCTCTGCCGGTGCCTCCCCCTGCTGGGTTTTCCTCTGCTCCATGTGCAGCACAGCCTGGGGGGCGGGGG